AGGGATGTAGGGTTTAGGATTTAGGTTATGGGGTTCGGGGTTTGAGTTACCATCATAGGGATCTACAGTAGCTGTCCTTATTATGGTAACTTAATTCAGATTCCTGAACCCTAAGGGTCCGAGTACCTAATCATCGTATACTCTCCCAAATAGTAACCTGTATAGCTACTCTCCGAAACCTGAGTACCTAATCATTGGGTCCTTTCGGCCCTTAGGGAAACAAGAGCCCAGGAACGGCCACGATGAGTAGTTCCCTAAATGAGGGTCCCTGTTTAGATTCCCCAAAATAGTACGGCACCCTTATCAAAAGGGCCCTAATTTCGAGAACTACCGAGACTCCTTAACAAACCCAAAACCCTAAGCGCCCAAAGCCCTAGAGAGCCCAGGAACGGACAACGAGTTCCCGAACTCCGAGGGTAGTGGCCGTGGAGCTTGACATGGCTCGCGCTTCCCAGGCTGATTAGGGTTTAGGGTTTAGCGTTTCGGGGTATTCTGGGTTCGGGGTTCCAGAGTTGAGGGTTTGAGGGTTTGAGGGTTTAGGGTCCGCAATTCCTAAACTCCTAAACCGAAGCCCTAAACCCCTAAACCCTAAACCCCTAAACCCTAAATCCCTAAACCCCTAAACCCCTAAACCCTAAATCCTAAATCCCTATACCCCTAAACCCTAAACCCCTAAACCCTAAACCCTGAAACCCTGAAACCGAGAATCCCAGGCCCCATATGGGATGAGGCTACCTGCTTTGCAGCTACCTCTCTCCGACATCGAAGCCTCAGAGTTTGCGGGCATCACCACAAAGAAGATGCAGAGCAAGGTCTACCAGCTGCCCTCCCAGGCTTCGTCCACGACTAGGTTAGGGTATTGGAGTTTAGGGTTTAGGGGTTTAGGGTTTAGGGGTTTAGGGGTTTTAGGGTTTAGGGTTTTAGAGTTTAGGGTTTAGGGGTTTAGGGTTTAGGGTTGCAGGCTTTAGGCTTCAGGGTTGTCCAGCTGCCCTCTCAGGCATCATCCACGACTGGGCTCCCATGCACGATTGAGCTTTGCGGTCCCGGCGTGATTCACGTTCTCGAAGGGTCCCTGCGGTTTGCCAAGGAGACAGATAAGAAAGAGAAGATGGTGGATGCTGGCACCACCATTCTTCTCAAAGATGCATCCAGTCACTTGTTGGCTCCCGCCGACAAGGACGGAGAGAGCTCAGGAGTTCGCTTCTTCTGGGTGGGGATAAGGTGATCACACAGAAGAAAGTGTGTGTGCTTGGGACCGCCCTGCCACAGATCTGAGCTTCTGGCGCGGTATTGTAAGGTATAGTACTTTCACCCGCAAATGCCCCACGGCCAATGGTCCGAGCCTCTGTGCTCCTTCCGGAAACGCTTTGGTGATGGGGTTGCTGCCTACAGAGTGAAGCCGGAACTCTGTATTCTGAAGGTTACGTTCCGATGCTACAGGGAGAGGCTTTTGCAGAGCAGTCGCAGCAGCAACCCTGTACTGTCGTAGGAGCTGTCCAATGCCTCCAATCTCGCTGTGTCGGGAAAAGTGCATCAAAGGGGGGTCGAGGGAGGGCGTCAAAAGCAACCGAGTCTCTGTACTCTGCACAAGTTTTCAGAAAGCTTCGGGAACTCCTGCCGCCGATCACCGCGAGGTTCACAGGTTTCACAGCATCAGCCTTTACAAAGGATGCAAAAAGACGCCAGCAGCACACCTTGCAGGCTCAACATGGTACTTTCAGCACCCTTCCTAATTCCTCCTGTTCTGCCACACGGAGTCGAGTGTAGAACCTGATTGGCGGACTCCGCGGCTGCCAGACAGCAGGCCCTTCGGCTGAGAAGTGAGCTCTTGCTAAGGAGCTTAACTCAGGTTACCATAGTAGGGATCTAAAGTGAGGATGTGTCTTGCTATGTCTTCAAATCCAGTTCCCTACACCCTAAAACCCCAAACCCTAAACCCCTAAACCCTAAACCCTAAACCCCTAAACCCTAAACCCGAGAAGTGAGCAATTGAACCGCAGCTCAGAGGTCACTTGGGCGCGATGGTCTCCGGTCAAGCAGATGCCTTACAGATCCCCGCGCGGGTTCAGGGGTTCAGGGGTTTAGGGCTTTGGGGGGTTCAGGTGTTTAGGGTGTTAGGGGTTTAGGGGTTTAGGTGGTTAGGGGTGTAGGGGCTTAGAGTGCAGGATGCTCGGGGGAAGACTCCTGGATTTCTCGAGGCCAATGGCATCGTCGCCTCTACGGACTTGTTCCGAGCTCAGAGGCAAAGATCCGGGAAGCTCCAGCTATCAGCTTTGCCTCAACCCCTCTAAACCCTAAACTTCGGCCTGCTAACCCTAACCCTGAAGCCTAAACCCTATAAACCCCAAAAGCTAAAAAACTAAACACGCGCTAAAGCCTTAAAGACCCTCACCGCTTTCAACAAACCCTAAACCCTATAAGCCCCAAAAGCTAAATGTTAAAGCCGTCAAGGCCTTCCCGTTTTCAACAAACTGAAAAAACACCAAAAAAACGATTTGAGGTTGGGGAGCTATAGCTACCTCGAGGACGCCTCCTCCGAGGTCCGGGCTCGGCAATCCCTCTCTCTCTCTCTATATATATATATATTTTATTTATTTATTTATTTATTGATTTATTTATTTATTTATGTATTCATTNNTATTCATTTATTTACTTATTTATTTGGCTGTTTCTTTATTTTTCTGAGTTTTCATTTAACAAAATATTTACAAAAAACAAGTTCATCATTATTGTTATCACTGTTGCTATCACAATTATTATCTTTCATATTATCAAGATCATTCTTATTTGTTTCCCTAAACCCCAAAAAACCCGCGGAGCGCCGACGGAGGTGAAAGCCCGGAAAAGCGAAATCACCAA